TTTGTCTGGGTTCTTGACAGCCATGGGAGAGTGAGTTCATTGATTCACAGCGTGTTTGGGCAGAATATGCTCTGAAGAGGCAGGAAGCTCAATCACAAAATAGGCGTTTAACCCTTGAAGATTTGGAAGTACGTTTTATGGCTATATGGATCTCTCTCTCTGTGCACTGTCACACAAATTGAAGTAATAAAGAAAGAAAATTGGCAAGGATGTTTTTTTGAAATCATCTTATGTCTGCATGTTCAAGGAGTTCCATCTATAAGCATACTCATTATTTCGTGATTTGTGGCTATAATTGATTGTCAAATAGTACACCCAAATGTACTTGGTATGGTCTAAGTGCTTACTCTCTTTGCTTTGCAGGATTCATGGGATCGTGGAATACCTCGTATCAATACTTTGTTTCAGAAGGACCGCCACACCCTGGCATATGACAAAGGATGGAGAGTTAGGACAGACTTTAAACAGTACCAAGTTCTGAAACAAAACCCATTTTGGTGGACACACCAAAGGCATGATGGAAAATTGTGGAACTTGAACAACTATAGAACTGATGTCATCCAAGCACTTGGAGGTGTTGAAGGAATTCTTGAGCATACATTATTCAAAGGAACTTAGTATGTTTCTCTTTCCTCTCTTTTTACCCCTTCTGTTTTCTGCATCGCCTGCAATATCTTCAGTTCATCGTTTATATTGCCATCTTTGTTTTCAATATCATCAGTTCATCATATATATGGCCTTCATCATTTTCAATATCATCAGTTCATCGTTTATGTTGCCATTTGCTAGAATTTAATGTAGTAGATATTGACAAAATGGAGTAGGGAAAAAATTAACCACATATAAGAAGCTAATGCACCTCATACTCTATGCTTTCTGATAAGAAATACCTTTTTATTGAATTGGAAAACTTCTTGTATAATTCTTCTTGTGCTCGGGCCTCAGGTTCGTTGACCAGTCCATCTTGGGTTGTAACAATTAGTATCATCAGAGTTTCTGCTATTAGAATAACTCAGTAGAATAACTCTAGGAATTAGATGATTGGTTGATTCGAAAAAATGTCATGGTTTTGAATCTAGTCTGTATTGCTTCTGTAACTGACTTATTCACATTGATGTTTCAGTTTCCCTACCTGGGAGGGTCTTTTCTGGGAGAAGGCATCAGGTTTTGAGGAGTCCATGAAGTATAAGAAGCTGACTAATGCACAAAGATCTGGGCTGAACCAAATCCCTAACCGTAGGTTTACCCTTTGGTGGTCGCCTACCATAAATCGAGCCAATGTCTATGTTGGTTTCCAAGTGCAGCTGGATCTGACTGGCATATTCATGCATGGAAAGATACCAACTCTGAAGATCTCTCTGATTCAGATATTCCGTGCACACTTGTGGCAAAAGGTACATGAGAGTGTGGTGATGGACCTGTGCCAGGTTTTGGATCAAGAGCTAGATGCATTGGAAATTGAGACTGTGCAGAAGGAAACAATCCATCCAAGGAAGAGCTACAAAATGAATAGCTCTTGTGCTGACATTCTCCTTTTTGCTGCGCATAGATGGCCCATGTCAAAGCCCAGTCTAGTGGCTGAATCTAAGGATGTGTTCGATCAGAAAGCAAGCAATAAATATTGGATAGATGTGCAGCTCCGTTGGGGTGATTATGACTCTCATGATATTGAGCGTTACACCCGTGCAAAATTTATGGATTATACAACAGATAACATGTCTATCTATCCATCACCAACTGGTATGTCATTTTTGCTTGATATATGAGACCTAGTCCAGACACTTCCGCTTCAGGATTGAATAGTTTGTTTGGTATTTATTCATTATTATTTTTTTTTTTTGTTGCAGGAGTGATGATTGGTCTTGATCTTGCATATAACTTGCATTCTGCATTTGGAAACTGGTTCCCTGGTTCAAAACCGCTTCTTGCTCAGGCCATGAATAAGATTATGAAGGTACCTTTGTATTAGCTTTAAAAATTTGCATGACATCTACTGAATAGTTAATAATGGAATGATGGGTTTAAAAACCAAATTATTGATCTTTTGCGTGTGCAGTCCAATCCAGCGTTATATGTTCTGAGGGAGCGTATTAGAAAAGGGTTGCAGTTGTATTCTTCGGAACCTACAGAGCCATATCTATCGTCTCAGAACTATGGGGAGATATTCAGCAACCAAATAATCTGGTTTGTTGATGACACAAACGTGTATCGTGTCACAATTCACAAGACATTTGAAGGAAATCTCACAACAAAACCCATTAATGGAGCCATCTTTATATTTAATCCGAGGACAGGGCAGCTGTTTCTGAAGGTTAGTTCCGTGAACTTCAATTTTAGAGGTAGTTTCTGTCAGTGGGCACTTTGTTGTGGAATAGGTATATAATATGTGTATATGTTTTGCAGGTCATTCACACAAGTGTGTGGGCAGGACAAAAGCGTCTTGGCCAGCTGGCCAAATGGAAAACAGCGGAGGAAGTGGCTGCGCTTGTGCGGTCCTTGCCAGTTGAAGAACAACCAAAGCAAATTATTGTGACGCGTAAAGGAATGTTGGATCCCCTGGAAGTGCATTTGCTTGATTTCCCTAATATTGTCATCAAAGGAAGTGAGCTGCAGCTGCCATTCCAGGCTTGCTTGAAGATAGAGAAATTTGGTGATCTGATATTGAAGGCTACCGAACCACAAATGGTTTTGTTCAATATATATGATGATTGGTTGAAGAGTATTTCATCCTATACAGCATTCTCAAGACTCATCTTGATTTTGCGTGCACTTCATGTGAACAATGAGAAGGCTAAAATGTTACTAAAGCCTGACAAGACAATCATCACTGAGCCTCATCATATCTGGCCTTCTCTAACAGATGATCAATGGGTTAAGGTAAGCTTGTCAACAGCTGCACGAATTATATGGTGGCTTTTCTTCCATTTGGTCCAAAATACTTGTACTAGTTCTGACTGGGGGAAAAATCTAGATCCGTTATTGGCAAAAATATAGCTGTAGTGTTTTGAGAGTCGATCTTATTATCTAAGGTATTCTGTGGTGCAGGTTGAGGTTGCTCTGAGAGATCTTATACTGTCCGATTATGCCAAGAAGAACAACGTGAACACATCAGCACTGACTCAATCTGAGATACGTGATATAATTCTTGGAGCTGAGATAACTCCTCCTTCGCAACAGCGACAGCAGATAGCAGAGATTGAGAAACAGGCAAAGGAAGCAAGTCAGCTGACAGCAGTCACTACAAGGACTACTAATGTGCATGGTGATGAACTCATTGTCACTACAACAAGTCCATATGAGCAAGCTGCATTTGGGTCTAAAACTGATTGGCGTGTGAGAGCAATTTCTGCTACAAATCTCTATCTCCGAGTGAATCATATATATGTGAATTCAGAGGACATAAAGGTACTTATCTATGTCTCTCCTTCTCTGTTGGACACAAGATGGCTTTTAATATCTTTTTTATGAAAATATGGTCCAGTATCCCTAACATTAGTATACATCTATTGATGCAGGAAACGGGTTACACTTATATCATGCCCAAAAATATTTTGAAGAAGTTCATATGCATTGCAGATCTGCGGACTCAAATTGCAGGGTACTTGTATGGCATAAGTCCTCCAGACAATCCTCAGGTGAAGGAAATTCGTTGTATTGCCATGCCACCACAGTGGGGGACCCATCAGCAAGTGCACCTCCCATCAGCGCTCCCCGAGCATGACTTCCTAAATGATTTGGAACCTTTGGGATGGATGCATACACAGCCAAATGAGCTTCCTCAGTTGTCACCACAGGTTTTACTTTCCCCCCCTTTTCAATATGAGGCTTTCAGTTGTTTGATTTGGATTACAGATGGGTACAGAATTTATCTTAGATGATGTTGCTGTGCAATGGTTTCTGACCCGAGTGTATGTATATGTAGGATTTGACTAATCATGCTCGAATTCTGGAGAACAGCAAGCAATGGGATGGAGAAAAGTGTATTATATTGACTTGCAGCTTCACTCCGGGGTCCTGCTCGTTGACTGCATACAAGCTTACGCCGTCAGGTTATGAGTGGGGACGTGCCAATAAGGATACTGGAAGCAATCCACATGGCTATCTCCCAACTCATTATGAGAAGGTCCAGATGCTCCTGAGTGACCGGTTCCTTGGTTTTTACATGGTGAGGATGTTTGAAGTGTGCTACTGTATTTTCACAAAGAACAGTTTCATTTGGCTAAAAAATGCAATTATATCATGGATGATGCTGGTTTTTACATTTATATTTAGTATATTATATTTTTTTAACATGTAGCTGATTGGGTCATTTTGTGGAATTTACTCAGATCCCGGACAATGGCCCCTGGAACTACAATTTCATGGGGGTGAAACATACTGTAAGCATGAAGTATGGGATAAAACTGGGGGCGCCTCGGGAGTACTATCACGAGGACCATCGCCCGACTCACTTTTTGGAATTTAGCAATTTGGAGGAGGGTGACACAGCAGAGGGTGATCGTGAGGATACGTTCACATAAGTTCAGTATTTGTAGCTAGCTTTCCTATTACACTTTTGTCTCCTAAAACTCGCATATTCTTGGTTTCGTCGTTTCAACTGTGGTTCCCAAAGCAATGCGAAAATCATGTGTTCTAACAATGTAGTATCCCGATACGGTAGTGCTTCACCGGATTGGATCTGTAAACTATTGTAGCAACAATTTTCTGTACTAGTTGTATATACATATATGTTCTGAAATGGAATGTTCTAGCCTCTTATGAGGTTTTTGCTTAGATTTGATTCTGTTTTTCTTTTGTCCTACCTGCTGCTCTGGATGTGTTATGCTGCCGCAGTATTATCGTAAATATGGTGAGGAGGGCTTAGGTGAATGACTTTGGTACTATGAGTTTGAGTCACGAAAACAGCTTTTGTGCATACACGAGTTAACTCTGCCATCAACAGCTCTTTCATGGCTAATAGACGGCCTAAATCAAGAAATTCAAAGACTATATATATGACACCAAACTCTGCGTTTAATTGTATTCAGATACTTCCACAAGGTCAAAAGTACAACTGAAAACTCCAAATATAAATCTCATAACACAAACCACCCTTTCAATTCAATAGGCAGCAATCCTTTAAAAACAGTCACTCCGCCAATGAACTGAAAACAATCCAAATCAAAAATCTATTTCCATAACCCTCATAACCATGCCAATCTAGCCACCCACCATCACGACGTAGTTATTTGGGGGCTAGAGCGCAACTTTTTCCAGTTTCTTGTTTTGATTCCTTTTCCTCTGAGATGAAGTCTGAACTGTCTTCTGCAATGGACATCCCATCATCATAATCTGCAGTTTGAGGACTCTTGAACAATTCATCAATTTCCAGAGCAGCAAACTTCTCTTTCAAATCTCCTTTCAGTAGCTCAGCCACCTCAAGCATGGTAGGTCTCTTCTCAGGTTGACTATCAGCACAGACAAGTGCAATGAAGACAACTCTTTTAAATTCTTCTTCCTCGTACTTCCCATTTAGTTTTGGGTCTGCGAGTTCGCTGAATTTCCTCTCACGTACCAAAGGCAGAGCCCACTCTGTGACTTTTAGCTTCATCGTTGCACTGATCTTCTCAATTGGTTTCTTGCCACTAGCAAGCTCAAGCAGAAGAATGCCAAAGCTGTAGACATCACAGCTCTCTGATGCCTTTCCTAACATTGCATATTCTGGCGCAAGGTAGCCAAGAGTACCTTTGACTCTGGTGGTTACGTGCGTCGCACCGTCCGGTATGAGCTTCGCAAATCCAAAATCAGCAACTTGAGCTTGGAAATTTGAATCTAGCAACACGTTGCTCGCTTTAATGTCTCTGTGAATTATATGTGGGGTCGCATGGTGATGAAGATAGCTGAATAAAATACTTTGAAAGGTTAATTAAGTGACAATGAAAGAATGATAAAAGAAGTATTGAACCTATACTAACGCAATTCCCTCAGCAGAGCCAATTGCAATGTTCATCCGCCGGTTCCAATCAAGAAGACATTCAGCTGAATGCTGCCCATGGAGATGTGAGAGTAAGCTCAGATTAGGCATGTAGTCATATACAATCAGACGCTCTTGTCCTTCGGCACAATAGCCTCGTAAACTTAGCAAATTCTTGTGCCGTACTCGTGCCAGAATCTCAACCTCAACAGCAAACTCCATATCTGCTTTATTGCTCCAAACCTTTAACCTTTTAATCGCTATCTGCAAATATATTTGTCAGAAAGGAATCTAGTCTCTATAATAGACAAGAAGGAAGTCTTGAGAGCAGCAGTGATAACAGCAAAGCCAAGTAAATTTTACATTGCATGGCTGAAATGGAAAATGAAAGCTTAAGATCATATTTGGGAGGAAGAACGCTTGTAATAACAACTCTAAGTAGCGTGTCATGTTATGAACATGTCGTGGTGACATCAAACAATCAAGAAAAGCAATCAAGAACAACAAACACAAGGATTCCTGTGGTTTCGTAGAATTCTAGTTATATCCACATGAGTGGCTATTTTCATTATACATTAGAATCCCGATAAGGATACAACTTATTTATAAGTAGCAGATGAGAACCTTAATTCTGGTCTATTACATAAAACTAATCCTGGAAAATCTCATACCCGGTATACACTGGAATGAAAATATATGAAAGCATGGCTTCTTTCCCTGTAAACTAAGTCATAATATATTTTTGTGGTGCAAAAGAAGATGCCAACGACAAAAGCATCGGGTTTTCACCTACTATACATGCTAGAGTTCGAGAGGCTTTATCTGATAACATTTTCTGGCAGGGATTGTAAACAAATAAAACATCTGATAACATTTTCTGGCAGGGATTGTAAACAAATAAAACAACGCAAGGCAAAGCAATACAGGAACTCTTGGCACACCTACTTAGCTACTAAGGACTTCCAGCTTCCAACTATGTTACAGTTGAGCTGTGCACTTCACAAAAGCAGAAATTTCTTTACAGCGGGAAGAAAGTGGGCTGACATTTATCCCAATGTGAATAGCACACGAAAACATAAAAGTTCAGGGTTACCCTTCTCATTATATGGGATCGATGATGGCATCACTTCTTTTCTTTAAGTTTTCTATTTTTCTATAAAGTTTTTGTGGTTCTCTCTCCTTTCGGTGGCGCAGATGGCCTCAATATGATCACATGAAAAAGCTACACAAAAGCTTGCTTTTATTCAGTTAGCTCATCCCACACCAGTCTCTAACCTTTCACAATGATCTGCGGGGAGTGTGCAATTCATCCTCCAAGGAGCATTTAAATCTAAATAATCCTTTCTGGGTGCTATTGACTTGGTTTTTGGAGTGTCAAGTTAGTGCTCAAAGAAGATTTGTTACTTTCCCAACTTCAGGGTTTTTTGTCACATCAGACAACAAACCTCCCAATGGTTGATTGTCATAATCATGAAATTCCAAACTTTAGGTATCCGCAAATTTAAGACCCACACGAGTTTCATTCCAAGGATTGTTTTCCAGCACTTAGGTACCCAAATCAATGATTTTACAGGTTATCAACTATTTTTACTTGATCAATTAAAAACTAAGGTCAGAGTAAACTAATTTACCAAGACAGTTAGATCAACAAAAAGGAATGGAGGGAGAAACTTTGTTCATTACTTGAGATCCATCCCATAGCTGACCCCAATAAACACTGCCAAATCCACCTTCTCCAAGCTTGTTGTCGTAGTTAAAATTGTTCGTAGCTGCGTGCAATTCCTTCAAAGAGAAAATCCTCCACGTTGATTTCTTCTTCTTTTCTCCTTTCCTGTGCAATTAAACACTCCACAGTTACAGCAGAGAAATTAAAACCCTCCATTTCCTTCCAACTGTTTCCGCCAATTAAAAATCAAACACGCAACTCAATCACGTTTCATAAGTGAAAAGTAGAACATCAGTACAGGGAAAAAAAAAAAATTTTCTCGGCATCCAAACAGAAGGGCAAAGTATGTTCTACTGAGAATACATCAATTAACTTGCATAAAAGCAGACTACATTGAATTTTGCTTAGAAATTACAAACGTACCGATCCAAACCCTTTACACAGCAAAACCTCGAGCAAAAGTCCATTTTCCCCACTACAATTTCAATTCTCTTTCCTCCTCTCTCTACACAACGTCAAACACAAAACCACGAAGTTTACTCTACTCCTTCTCTCTCCAACTTCCTCTTCAATGGAGCTGAGAACACAGAAACTTCTTAATGGAAAAAAAAAACCCTTCCGATCAAAGCAACCCAACTTCCTTCGTGTACGTGTATCTCAAAAAGAAGTATGGAGAGGTAAAGAGGGTAAACTGGATAGATGGGAAACAATAACGTAACGCATTTTCTGGAGATGATGCAGACATTTCTTCAGGGGTGGTGGAGAGAGAGAGAGAGAGAGAGAGAGTCGTGCAAAGGAGAGAGATTTAGGTTGGCAGAGAGAGCTGTCAGAGAAGTCGACTTCCTTGGACTTTGTCTCTTTGGTCGATGGGTCGCTGTTTACGGTTTCAATTTTGAGAACATCATGAGGAGGAGGAAGGTGAAATTAATTAATTTTCAAATTGTAAAATTGTAAAATTTTATTATTTTATAATAATTTATTATTTTTAATCAATAATTAAAATTAATCAAAGTAAAATTTAAGAGTATAGAATAATTTTGATATGATAGTGATTTTTTTTAACGACAAGATAGCCATAATGTATTTTCTAACTTTTTATGAATAAATATAATATTTATTCATAAATTTTTATTATAAATTTTGGGCGGGTCCATTCTCATCTCATTAAATTATAAATTATAAAACTATTAAATTCATCACTTTTATATTCACAACACTGCTTACTAAGTCCACTTCATTCTATGCTCACCGTATTAATAATAAAACTTATCTTAATTTTCACCTTTATAGTTTCTTTCTATAACCATCTTACATAGTCTATACACAAAATATATTCAACTAGATTCCACTCTGATTTTCTTTCATGCAAATTTGCTTCAATTGTCGCTACCTGATCTCTATTTTCTTCGATCTCATCATTGTAACAATACTTTGATTCCACTATGTGCTTCTCTTTCTTCATTTCATAATTTTTGGTTTAATGAATTTATAGAGAAAAATATCTTCTTTACATGCAATTTTTCAATATATAAGAAGAAAATCTCTTAGAATATCCGTTGGAGGTCGCATCTAAAACTAAGTTTCTTGAAAAGGAAAAGAAAAAAGTTCATCAAGTCTCACTCCTTGAACCACATAGTCTATACATAACTGTTTGATTAGTTTTAATAGATAATTTAGTTGAATATATTTTTTATAGAATGTGTGAGATGAAATATAAAAAAAAATCTTAAAAATAAAGATTGAAATAAGTTTTGATGATACCTTAAACAAGCCCTAACTGTGAGGTCAAGTCATGAGGTCGGGTCAGGAGTTCAGGAAAGACATGAGGAATTCAGAGAACCAGGGGTAGAGTTCCCCTTGGGGAGATAGTAGCTGAACCGACCAAGAAACAGCTGGATGACTGCAGGAATTGGGCCCCATGCATGAAACTCTCAACCAACCAAGATTCTCTCCTAAAATTAAGGAGGATCCCATGAATAATGGACAAAGATCTCGATCAAAATCCCACGGAATAGGGGGCAGCCTTAGAAATACTATGCAATGCCTCATCGTGAGGCAGAGACAGAGTAAGAGAGGGAGAGCAAAAGAGAAAAACCCTAATCATTTTAGCACTGCCTTATATTACATTCAACTAATAAATAGAAAAAAAGAGGAGCAAGAACCTCCATTGAAGAGTGGACTAGCTGAGCTCCCGAGCCGGTGAACCACTATATTTTTACTGTGTACACCCCTTTAATCCCCTCAATATTTGATTGTAGCATCATACACGAGCAATATTGGGAGCAACGCTTCAAGGACATCCAACAGGAGCTTAGCCAGATGAAGGAAGCGGTCAAGAGTAAAGTTCCAGTTACAATGGACGCTTTGGTGCAGCAGACTGAATCTCCATTCACGCCTGAGGTGTTGCATTTTCCCCTCCCACCAAAGTTCAGGATGCCTCAGATAGAGTCCTTTGATGGAACCAGGGACCCCATAGACCACCTCAATACTTATAAGAACCAGATGGAATTACATGGGTATCAGGATCCCGTACGCTGTCGAGCCTTTGCCATCACTTTGAAGGGTTCAGTCTTGACGTGGTTTAACAGGCTCCTCCTAGCCTCAATCTCTTCCTTCAAAGAGCTTTCCATTTCCTTCGTATCCCACTTCATAGGGGCTCGAACCTATAGAAAGCCGAGCTATCACCTTTTGAATGTGAAACAGGGACCACAAGAAAACCTCAGGTCGTATGTCCAAAGATTTAATTCAGAGTCATTAAAGGTAGATGTTCCAGACGAAAAGTTCGTCATCACTGCCTTCATAGTTGGTCTAGGGGTGCAGTCTAAAGATTTGATGTTCTTTATATCAAAAAATCTCCAAGCAGGCATGGCCGAGATGCTTGCCAAAGTGAAGAAATACATAAACGGTGAAGAAGCTTTTCTTTCTAAGGTAGGGAGCTCTTCCGCACATAGAGACAAAGGAAAGGAAGAGAAAAAGAGGAACCGAAGTCCCAGGAGAGAGAGGGAAAGAAATGGATCTCCAAAGAGAGATAGATCTCCCAGAAGAGACAAAGAGCAATCTCCAAAAAGAAGGGAGAACGTTAGGGACTGCTTAAGCCCCCTCGCAGCCTAAACTATAGCCGAGGTATGCACCTCAGCAATACACCCCTCTCATTGCGACAGTATCCTAGATCCTATACGAGGTGCAAACGAGAAATTCCTAAGGTGACCTCCACAAATGAAGGCAGGTCCGTCTAAGAGACCCTATAGAATATTGCGAGTATCATAGGGATCATGGCCATCATACCGACTATTGCATCTAGCTAAAGAAGGAGATCGAACTCTTGATCTAGAGGGGACAGTTACGATGATTTATCACCCATGACAACCAGGACAGGGCTCCGCCACCACCGACACCCCATCAACAAGCCCCTATGCAGCACCAACAACCCTTAGGGGAGATCAGAGTGATATCTGAAGGATTTGCTGGTGGTGGAGAATCCAGTGCAGCCAAGAAAGCCCACCTGCGTAGAATCAGAGCTGGAGAAGCGCTGAAAGTACACACCGTGTCCAAAATGCCTCGACTGAGCACAATCATCATTTTCTCGGATTCAGACTTGAAAGGCTGTCAATATCCCCATGATGACCCGTTGGTCGTAAGGGCCACTGTGGCAAACCAAACTGTTCATCGAGTTCTAATTGATAATGGGAGCTCGGCCGACATCATTTTCGTCTCCGCCTTTGACAAAATGGGCGTAGAAAGGGAGAAGCTTGAGCCAGTGAATGCTCACTTAAAGGGGTTCTCAGGGGAAAGGGTGCTACCCTTGGGATCCATCCAACTCGTGCTCACTATGGAGGACCCTCCTTGTCAAGCCACCACTACTGTAAAATTTCTAATGGTTGACGCCCCTTCTGCATACAATATACTACTTGGGAGACCATCCCTCAACGCAATGAAGGTTATCCCCTCAGCATATCACCTAGTCGTAAATTTTTTTACAGAAAATGGAGTTAGAATGGTCTGAGGAGATCAACGAATAGCCAGGGAATGCTACATGACCTCGGTGAAGCAGAAAGAGGTTGAAACTATCCAGCTAGATGAGCTTGACATGAGGGACGAGTTGGACACCAGGCCCATACCGTTAGAAGAGCTAGAGCCAGTCCAACTCGATGAGGAGCCTGAACATATTGTTTATGTGGGATCTAAGTTGAGCAAAGAAATGAAAGACCTACTCACCCAGTTCCTGAGGAAGAACATGAGGGTGTTCGCTTGGAAGCAAGAGGACATGGAAGACATTGACCCTCAATCATCACACACAAGTTAAGCGTGAATCCCATTTGCAAACCTGTTAAACAAAAGCAGAGAAGTTTTGCTCCAAAACGCCAAAGCCATTAGAGAGGTGGACTACGCTACCTGGTTGTCAAATGTGGTGCTGGTCAAGAAGACCAATGGAAAATGACGGCTCTGCATTGATTTCACTAATCTCAATCGAGCATGCCCCAAGGACAGCTTTCCCTTACATCGAATGGACTTGATCGTGGATGCAACTGCTGGGCATGAGCTCCTCAACTTCATGGATGCTTTCTCAGGTTATAATCAGATCAGGATGGACCCGGCGGACCAGGAGAAGACTTCATTTGTGACTGAACATGGAAATTACTTCTACCAGGTCATGCCTTTTGGATTGAAGAATGCTGGAGCCACCTATCAGCACCTAGTGAATAGAATGTTCCAGAAGCAAATTGGGACATCCATGGAGGTCTATATCGATGACATGTTGATAAAATCACTGAAGGTAGAGCTGCACATCGAGCACCTAGCAGAATCGTTCCAAATCCTCAAGGAGTACAAGATGAGACTTAACCCTGCAAAGTGCGCCTTTGAAGTTTCAGTAGGGAAGTTCCTGGGATTCATAGTCAACAATAGGGAAATCGAGGCTAACCCAGAAAAGGTTAAGGCAGTACTGGATATGCGACTACCGTCCAACATTAGGGAGATCCAATATGTGACAGGAAGTATAGCCGCCTTGAGTCGTTTTGTATCTAAAGCAAGTGACAAGTGCCAACCTTTCTTTCAGGTGTTGAACAAGGCTTTTCAGTGGGATACTCGGTGTGAGGAAGCGTTCAAAGCACTGAAGGAGTGCCTAAGCTCTCCCTCTGTCCTGATAAGCCCCTTAGAAAGGGAAGTGCTTACTCTTTATTTAGCTGTCTCAGATTTCTCAACCAGCGCAGCACTAGTTAGGGAGCGAGACAGAGCTCAGCAACCAGTATACTACTGTAGTAGAACTCTGAGGGGGGCAAATGAGAGATATCCAAAGATGGAGAAGCTAGTTTTGGCCCTGGTGACTACGACTAAGAGACATAGACCATATTTCCAGGCTCATACTATCGAGGTTCCAACAGATCAGCCAATGAAGCAAGTGCTGCATAAACCAGAGTCTTTAGGAAGGCTAGTTAAGTGGGCGATAAAGCTCAGTGAGTTTGATGTTAGGTATAAGTCAAGGACTGCGATCAAAGGGCAAATTTTGGCAGATTTTATCACAGAATTCACTGTAGTAACACCCGCGGAAGCCACATTGCTGATACCTGACCTTCCCGTATGGAAACTTTCGGTAGACGGAGCTGCCAATGCCCAAGGAAGCGGCGCAGAATTGATCCTGACCTCTCCAGATGGAATAGACGTGGAATACTCCCTCAGGTTTGGGTTTAAGGCTTCGAACAACGAGGCAGAGTATGAAGCTGTCATTGCTGGGCTCAACCTTGCTCATTCAATGGAAGCAGAGCATCTGGAGATTAGTAGCGATTCCCAGCTTGTGGTGAAACAAATAGAGAAGTCATACGAGGCCAAGGGTGTGAAAATAGTTTTCTA